TTTAAACATCTGCAGGATTGTATCATACACTGATTTTATCAATGGCACCATGTATTTTCTTGGGGGCTCTGTCTGTTGTGAACGTGTTGCTGTACTTTACTCAGTTCTCTGTCGGATGGTGGTCCTTTGGGAAGATACAGCAGCATTTAGCTACCATCATGATACCAGGGTCATGGGATCGAGACTGCGCTGGGCTCCATGATGAGCATGGATCCTGCTTGGGATTCTCTGTCTCTCTCTCCCTCTGCCCCTCATAAAAAAGAAAAGAAAAGAAAATCAAAATCTTTCTTCCAATGGATAAAGATGGAGTGGGGGAGGGGAAAAACTGAAGCTACTGTTCCTCACAGAAGCCCCAAACCTTCAGTTACCTATGTCTGTACTACTGGGATCAAAAATATAAAAAAATCCACTTTAAGATCTAAAAAAGAAGTCTGTGGTGGGCTGGGCCGCACAGGAACAGACAGACATATTAGTGGGACAGAATAGACAGCCTGAGTTTTTACACAAAATAAAGACAAAGATAACATTTTAAATCAGTGACGCAATTGTTAATACTTTGCAATTAAAATAAAGTAAAATAAACTTAGAGTACAACTTCGCAAAACAAATTCAAGAATAACTAAAGATGGAGGCACCTGGGTGGCTCAGTCAATTACCTGTCTGACTTCGGCTCAGGTCATGATCTCGAGGTCAGTGAGTACGAGCCCTTCATCGGGCTCTGTGCTGACAGCTCAGAGCCTGGAACCTGCCTCAGATTCTGTGCCTCTCTCTCTCTGTGCCCCTCCTCCGCTTGTGCTCTGTCCTCCTTCCCAAAAATAAGTAAACTTTAAAACAAAAATAGAATAATCAGAGATAAGCTGGGAAAGAAGCAATGAAAAACAAAGGAAATGCATCAGACAAGAAAATAAGTATTTAGATAAATATGTATCTGTGGTTGCTGTTAACGGTAAAAATATACACTTAAAGGTACAGACATTCGACTCCTAAAAATTTTAAACTTCTACGTGCCAGAAAAACATGTAAGTAAAATGTAAAAGTCAAACAGGATAACTATGTGCTAAAATGTCATCAATATTAATATTACATTTTAGGGATTCCTTACAAATTAATAATGATAAGCATCCCAATTAAAAAACAGGCAAATAACATGACAAACACATAGAGGAAGGAAAAACATAGTCAATAAATAGACACACACTTTTCGGTTCTCCGATCAGGAAATGCATGCTGAAATAACAAGGCTCTGGTAGCAGTGAAGGAGCACGCCCAGTGCAGGTGTCCATTTCTAAGTCCAAGTCTTTGGTGAAAGTACCCAGCACACCTTCATGACATGACATATTTTAGTGAAAACAGCAAGAAAATCTTGGTGGTCAAATAAGAAGGTGTGTGTTGGGGGGGGAAGGTGTCCTATGTTTAAAAATAACACTCAACGGAACCCACAACCAAACGTAACAGGGAACAGTTATCCACAGTGCTCAAGTCCGGTTAAAAAAAATCACACCAAAATAAATGAAACCATATTGCGACAATAGACAAAGTTGTGGGCCGTATTTTAAAGCTGTGGGTGTCTATTTCAGGAGGCACTGATTCTGCTCTGGAGGGTGGACTCCAGCGCTGCCTCCTGGAACGCAGGGGCCCCGTGGGACTCGGCTGTGGGAAGGGCCACTGGGTCCACCACATCCCCAGCAGCCTGACTTTTTCCACTAGCACAGTAAACGACTCCATCTCCTTGTAAATGCAGCCACTTATAATAGAGCCCCAGTTTAAAGGGCCAACTTTGGACAAATTCGTCTCTTCTTCCAAAGTCTTTAAATACCTGCAGCTTTAAAAAAGGGAAAACTAACGACGATCCATTCCTGCTCCGAAGGAAAAGAAAGGAGTCTGCTCTCACCATGGTGAGACTCTATGATCAACACACACAGGCCTGCACATCCTGTGCCTCTTTTTAAGGTCAGGATTGTACCCGATTAGCTCGTGATCCAAGCTAAAGAGCAGCAGAGGACGCAGGTACTCAGCGCTAATATGATCACGTGTGGCACCCAGGGCAGGTGTCTGCATGTGGGTTCTCTCAAGTAATACATCTGATCCCAGAATGGGATTCTGCAGGGACACAGGCCTGGGAAGCTCAAGCTCTCACGTGAGACTCGGGCTAAAAGGAAAGGATGACATGGGAACCCCAAGTCCAGGGCCTCCCCAGGCCCATCCTTGCTTCCTGCAGTCTTTCTGATCTGCCCTTCATGTCCGTAAACTAAAGTTTTACACATTCTCCAAGTCTCTTTTCAGCTCTAATATCCTGGAGCTTTCTGATTCAAGATGTGTACTCCTCAGAAGCTTGCAAAATCCACAAATGGGACAGTTGTATTTCCAAACTTAAGAGTGGGGACGTTCACTCTGTGGTACTTCCAGAATCATCTATCCATCTGGAAGGTGGAGCCCAAGTACTTCATCTGTTTACGGAGATAACTGAAATAGAATATTTTAAGATGGGATGCTGCAGATGGCTTAGGGTGCAGGGATGAGTACAGCATGGACAGTAAGGAAAGTTGAGAGGGGACTGGTCTTTAGTTCTTGCTTCCATCTTTTCTCTTTCTTCCATTCTCTCATTTGGTGCCACACACACCTCCTTGCAAGTCAGCTCCTCCAGGATGCTGTCCTATGAAACCTGCACTTTCAGATCAATTCCCCATCACCCAAACTAAGTCATTCTCACTCCTTTTCTTTCATTCTTCTCATACTTCATTTCTAATGGTGTCTGACTGCTGATAGACAAGGGACTGGAATAATTCATACTAAGGTGTGAATGGTCCATTGCTGACTCAGCTTGTGATCCCACTCAGCTTGTGATCCTTCTCTGAGCAACTGTGCATTCCGGAGTAGCTAGTGAGTCCAAATAGAATCTAAAGGATGGAGTTAAGGACTTAATATTATTCAGGCAAGTCTATGGACAAGTTTGTAAGCATATTTTTCTGCCCTGGTTCCCTATCTTCTGAATGGAGATGGTATTAATAGGATATGGTTTCCAAACTTCTGATGGTGCACCTCTGTCAGATACAAAACAATGAGCACCTACTCAAATAATTTATTGAATTCACACATATATGTACAATCACTGCGCCGATGTGCTGTTTACTATAAACACACAACTTGAAAAGGGTGCGATATAATACATAAAATTTATGTACTATTTTAAGAAAATGTATATTTTTGCTCTCATTCCAGCTTGTGTTTTGAGTGCAAGTAGTTAAGGATGAATACACATCACAAAGGGAAATTACAAACGTAAATCACACACCAAATGCTGAAAGAAAACAGCCAGTGAGCCCCTGCTCCCCTCATGCTTCACTGTGGGCACTCAGGTCACTTTTCAGGGTTGCCTGTGCCTTTCACAGTAGGTAGGAAAGGAGGGGCAGGAAGATGGGTGAGGGGATCGTCCGTACCATGTTAACAATGTCTGATTTTCTTCTTTGATTAAAAGAGAGAAAAAAGTCTCAATGGCTTCTTTCCGTACCCCAGTTCATTATCTGCGTGGGCTGCAGCGGCTGCCCTGTGTCCCTAACTTAATCCAGGAGCAGGCCCAGATCCAAGTTCTGTGCAACTTGGGACTGTTACAACTTCTGAGGAAAGAAAATTCTTTAAGAAAAAGAGCCCAAGAGCAAAATCTTACTTTTGCAACTTTTCACAAACTCTGTGATCCTAGCAACACAGGCCTGGGTCCTCCCAGGGTGGCGGGAGAGGATCCTGGGGGGTCCTCCCAGGGTGGCGGGAGAGGATCCTGGGGGGCCGGGGGGACAAGGCGCTCCCAGCAAGGAGGTGGGAGATGGGTCTTGGGCAGACTTGAGGAGCCGTCTCTTGAAAACGAAGAAGCCTGGGAAAGACGGCTTCTTTGCGAAAGGCTGCTCAGAGGACCGGAATTTAAATTTCTTTCCCTGCTTGGCTCCCCTTAACGGGCTTTGACTCCTGGCAAACCCTGCCTTCTGTGCTCAACTGTCCGGAGCGCGGGCGCCAAGACCGGAGCCCGGAAGTTCGGATAACCTCAGGGCCCTTCAGCCCGGCTGTCTTCTCCTGCTCCCGCCTGAAAACGAGCTGTGATGTCCGGCTCGCGATGCTCCCTCCAGGCTCCAAGCGGAGGACGTACAGCTTCTTGGTAAAGAACGTCCCGCACTCACTAAAATAAGTCACGCTGTCAGCTCCTGCCCATTAAGGGGGCCCCTTCTCCCTGGTCCTTGTGGGCGAGAAATTTGAGATGATCCTGGTCTCAGCTGCCTCCCTTTTAAGGCTTTGTTTTCAACGTTCCAGAGCTGAGGAAGAAGCGGAGGGCAGGCCGGGCTGAGGCGAGTTTGCGCCGAGGACGCGGAAGCGCGGGCGGCGTGGGCGGCTCGAAGCAGGGGCTGAGAAGGGTTCAGGTGCGCGTTCGATCGCGGCGCAGTAGGAAGGCCCGAGAGACGGCGCATGAAAGATAAAGCCACAAGTCCGGTTCTTCCGTGGCTCCTTCCTCCCCGCGCGCACCCGGCAGGGGCGTCGGGCTCTGGGTCTACCCGCCTGCCCCCCCCCCGCGGCCCCCGCCAGGTGTCTCCCGGGCCTCGGCTCACCCGAACCCACCTGCCCGGACTCCACCCGCCGCTGCGCAGGAGGAACGAGCAGGGAGCTCTGAAACAGACGTAACCGTCGACTCGCGGCGCCCAAGGCGGGTGAGGCAGACGCCATGTTTACCCAGCATGCCCCGGGCGGCCGCGGGACTGGCGGGCTGCGGCCACGTGACTGGGCGGGCCGTGATCGTGTCACGTGCCACGCAGTCGCCCCCGTCTGCGGCTGCGCAGGGCGGGGCCCCAGAGGCGCGAAGGCCAAGGGCCTGCGGGCGCGTTGTGGGCCGGGCTGTGCGGGTCGCGGGAGGAGCGGGGGGCCCTGCGTGATTGGGGGACCGATGTGCGTGCAGGACACGACCTCCCAGTGCGGCCTGGGCGGAGGAGGCCTGCCGTCCTGATGGGTGGGAGCGGGTGTGGGGGTGCAGGGAGCCGGGCGTGCCGGAGTACGCCCCTGCCAGGTGAAACCGGAGAGCATCCTAATAGATGCCCTCTCGAAGAACCTAGAAGAAACTGGAGGAACCTTCTAGAATATGTGTTTAAATGAGCTCTGGGAACACTTACCACACGGTAAGAATTTGTCCAGATGACATAAATTTTACCTCCAATCCTAAACCTAGCCCCGAAGAAGGAGGTAGCGGTCGTTTACGGGGCCCCCGAGCACCCTCAGCTGAGGGTCACACTGTGGATCGGAGAGGGCGGGAGGGAAGAGCCACCCTCGTGCTTTTACACGGCAGCAGCCCAGGCCCCTGAGCAGGGGAAGGACGAGGTCAGCACCTCGCACGTCACCCGCACATTTACCAAGAACCCATCTTAGGGGTGGGTGCCCTGCACCCGGACTGCCCTGCTGCCTTGGGCGTCGCCTGAGCCCCCCTAACCCAGACGCTGGGTCTGCGTCCTGAGCCACTGCTCATGAGCCGCCAGATGCTGCTAAGTGGCTTAGGCTGCCCGAGCCTCAACTTCCTCAAGGATTTGGGGGGAAGTCCAGGCCTGCAGTGTGAGCTCCTGGCCCCAGGGCCCTACTCACGGTCAGCAGAGGGGCAGGGAGCCTGTGAGTGAGGCACCACTGCCACCTGGTGGCCGCAAACCCAAATTACAGCTCCAGGGTTTGTAGCTCTGGTTCTGTTTTGAGCAGGGCGGCCTCTGAAAGCAAAGATGGAAGCCTGGGGTTACGAAGATCAAAACACAGACGTGACCAGGGGAAGGAAGCAGTGAGTGTCAGGCCAGGATGGGGAGGTTGGATCATTTCTAGGGCTTCCGGATTCTGGGCCTCACAGGCCTGCAGCCCCTTATCAATGTTTGAAGTTCCCGCAACATCAAATGCAGCTGAAATGAAAGAATTACAACATTTGCCAAAGACAAGATACTGGTTCTGTGTCTTCTCTACCGTTCGGGATCATCTGTTTTACGTTTTCTCTTCATCTGATGTCAAGTTGTTGTTGTTGTTTAAATGTTTATTTGTTTTAGAGAGAGAGGGCAGGCAAGGGCCAGAGAGAGACAGGGAGACAGAATCCCAAGCAGGCCCCATGTTGCCAGCTTCGGAGCCCAACATGGGGCTTGAACCCATGAACTGTGTAAGATCATTACCGGAGCCAAAAGTAAGAGTCTGATGCTTAACCGGCGCAGCTACCCAGGTGCCCCATCAAATTGCTTTCTGTGAGCACCTTTCTTACATTTAAACTGATGTGGACGACACTGACCTGATTCCACACGTGCATCCTCGGGCTCCGGCCTGTGGCTGGACAAGTCTAGAGGGAGCGTGACTCGGAGCACGAGGGGCCCAGCAGAGGATAGAAAACTTCCTTCTATTCCAGAAAGGAGAGTCCTCCAAGCCAGTGTCTTCCGTGCTCCAGAAAATCAGGTCAGACAGTGGTTAGCAAAGCTGAATAGCCAACCATGTCCCTACATAAATAGAGCTGTGCGCTCCCCCATTTTATACTTCATTACTTCAGATGTCTCAAGGCCTCTCTGGTCTTGGCAAAGCCAGCTTAGAGGAAGAGAGAGGCAAAGGGGAAGAAAGGGAAGTGTGTCGTATGCTTTCCATTTTACAAAATCCTTAAAGGCCATGGAGTGATAAACCGAGATGGAGAGAATTTATACGTGACCTAAGTTAGAATGTAAGTACGCGGCAAGGACAGAACATGACCCAGATCTGTCTGAACGCAAAGAACAGTCTTTCCAAGAATATCTGCAGCCTGTTGAGACTGTGGGCCGCTGTCAAAATGCCTGACTTCTCCCCTGCAACTCGGCTCCTTCTCACACGCCTTCCTGATGGGCCTCCCACGAAATTGGGATCTCAAGAACTGAGAGTGAGGAAGGTTCACAGACAAGATTGCATTAAATTCATCTTCCCCGTGTTACGCACGAGCAAGCTCAGTGTGGAAGGAGGAAAGCCCGGACAGGCAGCAGGATTTAAGGATTTTCAGCCCGTGGATTCAGGAAGCAGAAGTCTTAATTTTTAGAGCTGCTCTGTCAGGCGCTTTACAGCTTCCTCTGCTCGCTGCTAAGTGCTGTAAATCTCCAGACTGCCGGTCTGCAAGCTCACATGTAAACAGTCGTGCACATGAACGGCAACTGGCCACCAGCACACGGCCAGGGAGCGAGTGACCCGTAAATAAGTTTTGCGTGTGGTCCTCGGCTGCTCCAGTCCGCCGTGTGTCCGGACACAGGAGCGGCCCCAGGCACCTGAGGCAGATGGCCGCACTTTCACACTTCCCGGGTGCGGCGGCCGACAGAAAGGGAGGCCCGATGCCGCCGCGCTGCTGTGGGCCTGCCTCTGTCTGCTGCTTCCACAGTGCAGGTGGCCCGGACGACGGGCCATCCGAGAGCAGCTGTCTGAGGTTGGGGTCTCTGGATTGAAGGTTGACTGTGTGCGAGGCCCTTGCCCCTGATGGTGACTTAACTGTGGGAAGAAATGGCCCTCCCAACCTGTCTGATGGCACTGGGAGCCCGCAAGAGCCACCAACTCCAGACCCGCTGCGGACTTGTCTGGGATGCCTGCTGCGTGAGGACAGGGTAGTGGAATCTCAAAGGAAAAGGTCTTATTACACAGGGCAGCGGCCTGCAGATTGCTTTCTGCAAAGGGCTGGAGAGTAAATATCCTACTTGTGCTACTCGGCTCCTCCGTGGCACGGGGCTGCCACACACTGTGCCCGAATGAGTGGGCCTGGCTGCGTTTCGGCAAAACTTTAGTTACAAAAAGAGATGGTAGGCAGGATTTGGTGCTCAGGCCTACTTTGCTGACCCCCGGGGCAGGAGAAGGAGCAGGAAGGTGGTCCATGAGACCCAGATCTCCTCCCTCTTCTGCCATGTGCTGGATCTGAGACCTTAGATGTTACTTATTTCTGAGCCTGGTTCCTCATTAGTAAAAGGGAGTTCGTGGTATTTACCATTAGACATGCAGTGATGTAGGCAGAGCTCCGAGCGTACCGCCTGGCACAGCGTGGGCCTGCGGTAAATACCAGGCTTTCCATCGAAGTACCCGCAGCCCCAGAGGGAGGTCGGCTGTAGGTGCCTCAGTGCTCCGCTGCCTTCGTAGTCTTTGATGGTCATCTTTTGCCTCATTTGTTGAACTTGACTCAGAGCGAATGAAGTCTCTTTCACCCCATTTGTATTCTAAAAGTGGGTCTTTCCAAACTCACTGTCATGTTATTCCAAACGGTCTGGCAGCATTCAGGGCTTTGCGGAGTCTCCTGGCAATTTCACTGCACCGGAACATTGCCTACCCTAAAATTTTTAAATTATAATGGAATGCAGAACAGATGTACCAAATCTAGGGAGGACCAGAGCAACATTAATTTGTTCCTTGGGAATGCCCTTCATAAGCACGTTTTTGAGCAGACATTTGTGATAAGAGCCAGGCAATAAAAGGTCTCAGCGTGTTCTAAACACTGCAATTTTGGCAATTTGTGTCAAAGAAAATTTGGAAGGCACAGATAACTGAAACAGAGCTGGCTAAATTTATGGCTCAACCTCTCACTAAAATATCTGTGTTTGGAAGATGTCACTGATCAGAGAAATAAGAATGTGGATGGAAAAAAACTTAGTATTCAGACGGGTGGAGCTCTGAGCTACGACACTAATCAATACTTAGTTATATAGAATATGAACTGGGGCCAAGTTGCTGCTTGGGTCTCTTCAAGGTGGCTGGCTTCATACCGTATTACAAATACCAACGTGAAAATACAGAGCTAAACTTAAAGATAGTGTTTTCAGAAAAGCTGACTTTTATATCTAGGGTTATAATTTAAAGTACACTGAGCTTCAAAGTGGGGAGGGGGGAAATATGGATAAACAAAAAGGGCAGTAGAGTAATAGTGTGAAGGCCATTATGATATTGGCCTGGGGCACCTGCGTGGCTCCGTTGGGTAAGCATCTGACTCTTGGTTTTGGCTCAGGTCAAGATCTCATGGTTTGTGAGTTTGAGCCCCATGTTGGGCTCTGTACAGAGCCTGGTTGGGATGCTGTGTCTCTCTTTCTCTCTCTTTCTGCCCCCCACCCCTGCTCAAACTCTCTCTCTCTCAAAATAAATGAATAAACTTAAAAAAATAAAAGATACTGGGGCGCCTGGGTGGCTTAGTCGGTTAAGCGTCCGACTTTCGCTTAGGTCATGATCTCGCGGTTTGTGGGTTCGAGCCCCGCGTCGGCTCTGTGCTGACTGCCAGCTCAGAGCCTGGAGCCTGTTTCAGAGTCTGTGACTCCCTCTCTCTCTGACCCTCCCCTGCTCACGCTGTCTCTCTCTCTCTCCTAGAAATAAATAAAACATTAAAAAAAAAAAAAGATACTGATCTGAAAACTAGGGTGAACCCACATTGTCAGCTATAGTACATTACATCCTTGTGGATCATACGATCCAGAAGAGAACTGTTTGCGGCACAAAGAGAAAATTACTTCTTTTGGCAAATCTGAAATTTCATATCCCCCAAGATGTACTTGTTACACTTTTCCCTTTAAGAAACAAATCTGATAGGATTCTTTCTTGACCCTATAGAGTGATAACCTTCTGGGTAAAACTGACCTACTTTTTATCTCATTCTCTGCTACCACTTCTATAGAAAATGAGCTGTACCAGACAAGAAATGCATTTTGTGTTAGCGCAGTTGTATGTTGAGACATGCTCTAAAATGTTTGGGTTATGAAAAGGAGGGAGGGTTCGCCAAGCTGGAACGTGAACATCTTCTGTAGCTTTGCTACTTACCAATAACTTAACGTTTTCATGCTGGGTTTTTATTTTATAAACCAGAGAAGGAAACAGATTCCAACTGTACTAGATAACAATGCCATGGAAGTTGTAATACCAGGATGTTGATGACTCGGTGGAAGATCATGTCTAACTTTCTTTGGTAAAAAATAATAAAATATGCATTTATTTATTGTGATTTGTTTTGTCCAAATGCGGTTTGTGTGGTTGAGCTCATGCCACGTGTAAAGTTCTATAGTGCTTTTATTTTTTTTTAAGGAAATGTTGGCTGTGAACTACATTTTTTTTTTTTTATTTCTAGGGGAGAGAGAGAGAGAGAGACAGCGTGAGCAGGGGAGGGTCAGAGAGAGAGGGAGTCACAGACTGAAACAGGCTCCAGGCTCTGAGCTGGCAGTCAGCATAGAGCCCGACGCGGGGCCCGAACCCACGAACCGCGAGATCATGACCTAAGCGAAAGTTGGACGCTTAACCGACTAAGCCACCCAGGTGCCCCTCTATAGTTCTTTTAAAATTTTTATTTTGAAATAATCTGCAATTAATAGGAATTTTTAAAGGTAGTACAGAGAGGTCCTGTGTAACCTCACCCCGTTCCCCACAACAGCTGTATCACATTTAACTGTGATACAATAGCAAACCCAGGAAACTGATGTCTGTAAGATGTGGGCGTAGAGATCTAACCCATCTTATCCCATGTATGTTTTCCTGTAACCACCACCGCAGCCGAGATACAGAACTGTTCACTGACCCGGAGCATGCTCTCTTGTTCCTTTAGAGTCACACTTATACCCCCACTCCCCAACCCTTACCCCTGGCAGCCAGTGATCTGTTCTCTGTCTGGTACTTTCATTGTTTCAAGGGTAAACAGAACCATATATGTAAATGGAATCTCATATCATGTGACTTTTTGATACAGTTTTTTAAATCAGTATAATGCCTTTGTGTATGGTTGGGTCATGTTTGTTTCATACTTCTGTTGATCCCTGTCTTTTTAAAAAAAAAATTTTAATGTTTATTTTTGAGAGATAGAGACAGAGCACAAGCAGGGGAAGGGTAGAGAGACACACACACACACACAATCTGAAGCAGGCTCCAGGCTCTGAGCTGTCAGCACAGAGCCTGACACAGGGCTCGAACCCACAGACCGTGAGATCACGATGTGAGC